AAGATTCAATAGTAGCAACGTACTACAGACAAGATTCACACTATTCTTTTGTAAAAAGTAGCCCTAGAGTTGGAAGTGTGTGGTGTTGACTAGCTGTCTTCCTTCTACTCTAATACTTCAATATTAGGGATGGCTAATGCAGATAGACCTTGAGTAGTTTTTTGCAAAATTTAAAAAAAAAATCCTTAAACCATTTAAATAGTCAATTGATTGAAACCCCAAGTCTGGAAGAGTGAAAAGCACACTTTCATTTCTGAAAAACGAAACCCAAAGTCAAATTTCTTCTGTCACAGTAGATAGTCAGTCTTTGAAGATATGTACTAACCAAAATGGTTTAAAAAACGAATTGTTATTAATTTAATATAAAGCAGTCAAATAAGGTTTTAACCCAGATCTTATAGATAGGGCAATTAAGAAATTCACTAATACTATAATAATTGATCAAGTTAGTACTTTAAAATGTAGTTATGAAAAAATTAGAAAGGAAGGCTTAAACTTACCATATGTTCCAGGTTTAACTACTAGTTTATTTAAAGTGTTCAAAAAACAACAGATATTCTACCCTATATTTAAACCGATAAATAAGATGAATCAAATGTTAGGTACTACGAAAGACAAAATACATTTAACTGAAAAAACTGGAATATATAAAATAAAATGGGAATATGGAAGTATTGACATTGGTCAGACAAAACGTAATTTAAAATACCGCTTAAATGAGCGTAAGGGATATGTAAAAAATAAAAACTGACAATTCATCCATAGCAGAACATGTACAGGAAACACAACACACAATATTATGGGAAAAAACTGTAATATTACTTTTAGGTTGAGCTATAATAGGTAATAATATTCGTGAATCATTAGAAATAATAAAACATAAAAGAAATCATGTAGTATTAAATAGAGATGAAGGTATGGCAAATATTTCTGCAAGAATGTGGATTGATCTCCTTTGAATGGTTTAGCATGAATGTATGAAAAATAACATACAGGTCAATGACCTACTAACAAGCTATAAATACTTTGGCAATTGTCTTTTAATTCACTCCTGAGAATAACGTTGTAACGTCGAAATGTGTAGAGTCGTCAACTTTTTGAAGGTCATAGATAGGCCTAAATAAAATGTTTTTAATCGTGTACCAGTTTAACGTTGAATATTATTTATGATTTTAACTTTATACACAAGTGCCAAAATACTATAACTTTCTTATATTTTTGGTTTTCTTTGTATTTTAAATACAGCGCCAACAGGTGTTCCTCAGAATATTCGAGTTATAACAGTAGGTAAAACTGTATTAGAGTTCCACTGGGATCCAATTCAATGTGATAAATCCAATGGAAAGATTATTAACTATGAATATGCTCTTCAACATGTCACTTACTTCAGAATAAACAAAACTAGAAAGAAAAGAAAAGTATTGAACGGAAAGTGGGCTGTGCCGGTAACTAAAACAAATGGTAAGATTTGTGTCTGTTTACTTTAAAGATGAAAAAAGAGATTTTAATATTGTTGTGAGGTGGTATTCCTTCATTTTTTTATTAATTATTATTTACATATCTCTTGTCAACTGTCATTTGTTGAGACTTATTTTGAATTATTTTATTCATGATGTCAATTCACACCCAATTAGAATTAATTGTTCTCATGGTGAGACAAAATGACTGTCACTGGATGGTAGTGAGGTCTTTGATAAATATCTATAGTAATATGTGATTCAATTTGTCACTTTATATAAATGGGTTCAGCAGATGTTTTGTCAAGAGCTTGAAAATTTACCAAGTTATACTGTAATTTCATCATTTGGTAGCAAATAAAAGAAAATTTTAGTCAGACACCCGAGAACATGAAGTGTTTGACATTGATTTATTACTAAGTACATTTCATGATAAACTATGAAATTAAGTTTTTTTTCTTGTTCATTTTCTTAACTTTTTATGTCAAGGTTATATAGTTGAGTTAGAAGTTTGATGTTCACTTGTATCGTTTGTGAACGCCTGGGCTGGATATCTTCGAATTGTGAATATATTCTGTAAAAATTCTAATAAATACTTTTTACCTTTTAAGTATCCTTGTATTAATGTTTTGATTATTTTTAATGTAGAATACAAGATTCCTTACACTGAAATGCTAATGTATTTGTTGTTAGATCATTATCTAACTATTCAGTGATTTTATTGTATCAGTATGATATGATGAGCTGGACATTTTGTTTAAGCAGTTTTCATGAGAGTTGAATAGTGAAAAAAAATCTTTTAAAATTGTACACACAAATGAACAAACATTTCTAGAAATTAAATATGCGAGAGCATTCAGTTTCAGAGTTTTTCTTTAATTCCCTAACTTAATTTTCATTGTTTTTTTGTCAGAGCTTCATAAATAGAATATATTCTTCATATTAATATTTGGCATTTCAAATAACTTTGGCAAGCATTGGTAAGTTATGTATGAATAATTACAAATGTGTTAGAAAAATGTTGAAGTTTTTTTAATTTCCAGGCAGAATCATCTATAAGAAATCGAATGCAATACTGCAAGATGAGTTAGTGAGCCTAAAATAGTGATAACGTTATTTTTTGGAAATGGATGTTTAAAATTATTGACTCTTTTTATCACCTTTCATGAAACCACACCCATAAATTGCCATAGTTCAATCTATGTCTGAATCAGCCAATAGGAAGTAGGATTGCTAAAAGAACTCATTTATAAACTGAAGTAGAATTTGTAAAAGCAGTGTCTATGCTCGATAAGCTTTATGTGTGAATATACCTCAGAGAACAATTCTTATTGATTTTATAGAATAATGGAAAATGATTTTTTCTTATTGCCTTAAATAGATTTTCTCTATTATCCCAAATATTCTAGGATAGTATGTGTTAACAGGAGAGATATGGAAAAGTTTTCTTAATTTTCTTGGAACTTTTATAACAAAATAACTAACTAAAGCTGAAAGTTTTACCTCAAACAATGGTGACATATGCATGCTTTAAAGTTACATGTGGATAAACAACTCATGTTCATGATTATCTGTTTTTGTTTCAAGGTACAAAACAAAATGAATTTTTACAAGTTGTTGTTAAGAGCATAATAATTGTAAGTAAAAGTTAATTATGAAACTGTTAAAATCATTATTCAAAATAAAAAATGATTTCTGACTGTTTATATTTTTAAAGATTTTAACACAACAAAATGTTTTTCTTTTTGATTCTAAGGTTTCTTTTTTATCATCGTCATTCTGTATCATCATATTCGTTTGTTATTTTGATGATACTTCTTGTATATTGAATGAATATTTTCCAATTCTAAGATAACAATAAACTCTTGCCATTATCTTTAATCTAACCCCATCAGAAATGTGTAAATGTTTAAAATATTAAAATACTCAAATGGTCAACATTGTATAATACCTAGTTAAACTTTTATTTAAAATACTGATCCACAGTTATAAATATGTGTTTTGATGTTGTTCACATCATCATCAGGAGTGCGAAAGACAAATGATGTGCAAAATATAAATACAAAAAGCCATGGTCATTAATTTACATATTTAAAAATGATCACACTTTCTTTTTACTTTCCAATTTTTTCATCCTTGTTTAAGATTAAATTATTTTTACTGTGTTTTATTATTTCTATCGTTTCTCTAATATTTATAATCAACGTATTATTTGGTTGAGCCACAATAACAGTGTTTCTCAATGTTTCAGTATAATTTACATGTTCAGCTAGTGCAGAGTTTTAGTTTTGTTTTTAACATTTCTGTTATGTTCATTTACTCTAAGTCTGTAAGTTTTAAATTTCTTCTAGTTTGACCGATGTATACACCACCACATTCACATTTAATTTTGTAGGTACTTGTTTTCTCCATTAAATTGATTTTGTCTTTAATATTACTTAATATTTGACTAATTTTATTCGATGATATATAAATGGGAATGAGATTTTTGTGTTGTTTTTTGAATTTATGAAAAAAAATTGGTATGACAAACCTGGGATATATGGTAAAAACAACATTTATCTTTTTATCTATTTTATCACCTTTTAAAACCTTCATCTTATGCTACATACTTGATTAACAACAGTTAATTTTTTTATATCTTCTGGATTAGAACAGAAGAACTGTAAACATAAGAATAAATAACTAACATTTTATGTGACTCTGTATGACACGATTCTTGATGTGGTGGCATGAAAACAGAAAAAGGTTTATGATCGACCATAGTTTCTAACTTATCTTTGTTCTTCTTAACTAATACTTCCAAAAATGCTAAACTATTATTTTTTCAAGTTCATAAGTAAATTGAATGGCAAGCTCAAGACTATTTAAGTAATTAGCAAAACTAGCAGGTTTTCTTTACCCTTTTGCCACACCAGGAAAGTGTCATCAACATATCTAACCCATATTTCTGATATAAGTTTAGCATTCTGTAAAGCACCAGTTCCAAAACATACTTACCTCATCTCACACTTACAGCTATTACTCGACTGCCAGAGTTTCTTCTTTTGCCCATCTAAGCATTAGTCTGATTATTTCTCACTTGCTCCAGTATTTTATACCTCACTTAATTGCCCTTGGTGATATTTGTCTTCTACATGACACTCTCCACCTATGTCAATGCACCCGCTATCCTGGTACTGTATATAAGCATCTCATTCAGATAATATTATCACTTTTTCTTGACAAAGTTTCACTAACAGGTTTCCCAGTCCTACGATCATTCAGAGATACTTTTGAACATTGATTTTCATTAAAAAAAATCCTATTGGCAAGTTTAATTACAGTATCAATTCCCAGATAATTATTTCTGGTACGAAGGCAAATCAGGTCTATCCCACTTCTGGTATCTAGCAATGCACAACTATTCTTGCTCCAATTTAATATGACATCAGTCTGAATATTTTTTATTTTGCTCAACTGACACCCATCTGACTCCATGCTGACTCACCTCTCCATTTCCCACTGCATAGATGGTTCATTCTTTTCTGGTAATGTGTGCACCACTCAAATCCCTCATGCCTTTAGGATGAGAGCACAAGAGATTCTTTTAATGCTCCTTATGCAATCAAGAGATCATAAACATCGATTCACTGGATTCTCCAGTTTCCGTAGTCAGAATCATTCTTAGCTCTCAAGGGGTTGTTAAGTCAGGACACTACCAAGATATGGGTTCCTCTACTGCCACCTCATCCAGAGTTCCATCTCTTCATGAATCCCTTGCTTCAGGGATGGGGTGTATATACCAACAGTCAGAAATTCCCAGGTCTAGGCACAGATGACGAGACTTCCCTACACAATGTTTTAGTCCTTCTTGCTCTTCAAAAGGCAATGCCTCACGGTCTGGGCTTATTAACGGGATGTTTTGTATATTACATCGAGGTGGTACTTGGTCCCCTTGTTTTTGAATCTTGGACCTCCTTCCTAGGGACCACTCCTATCATATTACCATACTATCTTGCCATGTTCTATGAGTGATGGCTGAGGTAGCAGATCAATTGTCTCAACCCAAACAGATTCTCCCAACAGAATAGATGCTGCTTCACAAGGTTCTGTTGGATTGGCAATTTAGTCTGCAGTACCTCACCTTCAGACTTTGGCAACAGATGCATTCCATCAGTACAGGATGGGATTACAACTCTAGACCTTCCTTCTAATTCATATGTTATTGTCAAGGGAAATTAAGTGGGGTATAATAGACTAGAGCAAGTGAGAAAAAAACAGACCAATGCTTAGATGGGCAAAGGAGGAAATCCTGGTCGTCGACTAATAGCTGTAAGTGTGAGATGAGGTAAGTATTATTGGAAATATATTTTCAATTGAAGAAAATGTTAATTTTCAAACCTATCCATGAAAAAAAAACCACACAGCAGGGGAGATGATGGAGAACCCATAGCCTATAAACAGACTGAAGGCCTAGCTATGGGTTCTCCAATTTAATTTTTTATTATACAATGTTAATTGTTTGGGTATTTTAATACTCCATTAGAAATGTTGAAATTCCTAGCATAAGCTGTAATCTAATCTAATAGTTAAATTCCGGTATTATTCCTTTTAATATTTACAAAAATATTTTTCAGGAACTACTGTATTTTTGACTGGACTTATCCCATTCCAATCATATGCTTTCGTTGTTCGAGGATATACCATATCTGGACCTGGTCCTTTCTCCAAAAAGATATTTGAGAAAACTGCAGAGGATGGTAAATTACAGAATTGTATCTAAAAAAGTTACCACTCTGTTTGTCAGTGAATAGGATATTCTTTGGTCACTATTTTTCTGGTTGATGAGTAAGATGCTTCCCAGTTATCGTGTTGATTATCACAATACTTGAAATATGTAAAATGTACTCTGACAGTTAGCATGGTGCATAAGGTATGCTCCAATATGGAAACGTCTAGATAATATATAAAATTTTCTCATAGCTACTGTCTAGACATTCATAATCTCTTGCAGTTTCTGGAGAAATATAAATACCAATGTTTTATAATGCTCAAGTCAGGTATTCCTAGTACTTGTTTTTATTTCTAGCATTACAACTTGATGTTACACATTATACACTGAGGGTTTTAAGTTAGGATTATAAGTTAATGTTGTTTTAGTTGTATATTCTAAGATTTTTATCGTAAATCAACCCTGTTATAGTTTTGTTACATATTGAAATTACACCTGTGATATTAATATTGTGTTTCAGTACCACCCGCTCCATCATTGTCAGTTATGGCAAAAAGTGATAAGGATATAACCCTGAAATTAATACCGCCTAATCCATCACACGGAGTGATTCTCCAATATAGGTTGTCATACTGGCCAGCAGAAAATAAATCTCTTAACACAAGCTTTATCCTAATAAACAACACAGGCAAGAAAGATGATGATGATAATGACTCTGGAAGTGTTAAAACATATTTGTTGCAGAAGTTGTTGCCATACACTCAGTATTCAGTGAAAGTGAGTAAGATGTTTTTTGTAGAGTTAGAAAAAGTTTGATAAACCTCATAACTTGTGTTGTTACATCACATTCAGTATTTCATAAAATAAAAATTCCTGAAACTTGTTAAGCTAGTTCCATTCCCATTCCGTCCACCTTAGCAATGGAATGTCAAAATTCCTGTCTATTTACTTATAATTGCTTATATAAATGTCTAATTATAAGTTTGGCATTTTATGTAGAATAATCACTTTGATTATTAATGTACTAGTTTTTATTTAATATAGCTCATAACACTATCTACATGAAGCATAACCCATTGACTGCTGCTTCCCCATAATAGATGTGGTACATCTTCAGCAGTCGATTGCAGGTGTGCCGTATACGGTGTACGGGTTGCAAAAATTCTGTGGGTATTTAGAGCAGCCACAGTCAATGTGTTAAAATTTCATCTACACATAACATTATCTAAATGAAGCTAACATTATCTTCCACTCATAACAATATCTACATGTATCTAACAATGTTTACTGCTCATAACAGTATATACATGAAGCTAACAATATCTAAATGAAGCTAACATTATCTTCCACTCATAACAATATCTACATGTATCTAACAATGTTTACTGCTCATAACAGTATATACATGAAGATAACAATATCTAAATTAATCTAACAATGTCTTCCACTCTTAGCAATATATACATGAAGCTAACAATACCTTTTTTTTATCCCTGTAACTGCTATCATAATTTACAGGGTGGTCCAAAATTATCTTTCCTATTTTAACATAAAATAATTAACTAACTAAGGAAATGCAACCATGCAATTTTCAACATCTTTTAGCCCAACTCGAACAGTTTTTATTGACATGTCAGTATACTTGTATGTGTGCACCATTAATGGCTCTCAGCACCTCTATACAATAATCAATGTCTGTTCACTTTTGCTGTAACATGTCCACAGTTAACATGGCGATGGTATCCATTATCCTGGTCTTTAGCTCTGATATGTTTGCTATAAGCATGCGATACATGGTATCCCTAACATACCCCCCATACTTTTTTCTTATACTGGTGTCTGTAATTATGCAACACCACAGTCACTGACTTAGTCTCTGCAAGCCAAATGATATTTTATAGGTAACACTACTTACTAGAGTGAAAAACAAAACATGACAGTAGAAACAGTTTGAGTTGGGCTACGAGATGTTGAAAATTGCATGGTTGTATTTCCTGAGTTATTTAATTTATTAAATAATAAAATAGGAAGGATAATTTTGGACCACCCTGTTTAATTATGGACATACCTTGGCAGTGAAAGAAATACATTTTAAATTGTAATATCTGAATATGCTTTTATATGACCCTCAAAAAAGGGGCTTGTTGTAATTAACTTCATGAAGAATCTTGTAAATAACTGTGAGTATAAAATTGTAATTTTCTTTAAATAATTCCAAAGATGTTTTATAGAAAACTGTTTTGGCCTTTTATTGCTATAATTGCTAGTGAAAACTGTAAACAAGCTGTGATGTATGATGGCAACACATCTGATCCAAAGCATGTGATTACATAAATGTTTTGCTATTCATCACTAAATTTGGATGTCAATTTAAACATGTTTTTAACCAACTAGTAGTCGAACGTAGAGCTACTTCTAGGACATTTAAATTAATATACCACTTTAGATGTTTTTAATTTTCCAATTCCATCTTTATACTATACTTGAAAAAATATATTATATTGTGTTCCTTCTCAAGTTTAAAAAATATTCTTAAATCAGCTTGCAGAAGTGATTGGTTACACAATAGATTTTTTACATGTAATATATTTTGCCTGTATATGGTAGTATTATAGATATTGTTTGTTTTGGAACATTGAACTTTATTTGTTTAAGATTATTAACCTTATGCAAAGAGTTATATATATATAATGTTGTTGATTATATTATTTGTGAAGTCATCTTTAGTCAGAAACATTTTAATATTTAATTCTGTATAAAAATATTCATATGTGCGATTTATTGCATAAGCATGATGACTTAATATTTTAATCATATATACCTTAAACAATTCTGGAATCCAGCTGTTAGAATTAAAATATAAATCTGTAAATGTTATTTTTGTGATACATTTCACATTAAAACCTGTCATTGTTAATATATATCAAAATCAGTATATCTTGTATTTTTATGTTAATTATCAATATATTCATAAAACTGACTTGCATGTTAAGATGCACGAAGATGACAAAAGTATCATCAAGGTATCTGCCATCTAAATATATATAAATATATATATATATATATAAGCTCAAATGTCTCCCTCTATCTCTCTCTCTGTGAGTCTGTTCCTTATGCATGGCCACATTTTTAAAGCTCCAAACTCCAAACTTGGGATACTGATACAACTTTGTGCAAATAGTAACATGGGCTATGTGACATTTGAGGACACAAATTGAGGTCAAATTGATCAGTATAGCAATTTTTGGCAAAGAGGATGATCGATTGGTCTCAAAGTGAAAAGGCTGGATTTGGTAATGTGTGATCAAGAGGGCTATTATTTACATTTCTTCTCTGTGTGACGACTTCTTTTCAAGAGGATAAATCAATTCTTCATTAAATGGAACGATAATAAAGTCAGAATATGCTATAAATGACACTAGACTACACAGCAGAATGATGGACATCAAGCGGTAGGGAATTTTATTTTGGAAATTGAAATGTCATGCAAAGCGCATGGAAGAAGCAGGAGCAATGTATCCGGTTTTGTTTTGATTAATATAACTTTAGCAAATTATTATTTTTTTCACACAGTCTTTTTATTATTGATTTTAATCCAAATATTTAGTTGGATAAAGAAATAATTTTGGACTTTTTTTTGCAAAAAAATCACGATTAATATGGTTGATTTAATCAAAACAACTCGGGATATTTAAAGCTATTTTTATCCGAGAAATGTCGAGTACTGTGTTTAGTAGTATATATACCTGAAACTCAAAAGACAATTACTTATTATAATGGCATAGGAACAAATTGGAAAAATATACTGCTAACCTTGATCCCATTGTAATTTTACCACCTTGATCATATATTTTGGTTTTGAATAAAAATTGAAATTCCTTGGCAGGAAATTCTACTAATTTCTGAAAAACATGCTTTGGAATTATTGCTATCTGATCATCATAACCTTTACTTTAAGTACTTATTTTTGCTTGTAATTGTAACAGTCTATTTTTAAAATGTATTTCTACAATTGAAATTGTTAATAATTTGATAAACATAAATTATTTCAACTCTTTTTTTTTTGTCTTGTGCAGGCTCAGTGCTCTACGAAACCTGGGTGGGGACAGTGGAGTAAAATTACTACTGTTTCTACTGAAGAAAGTTGTAAGTAAGATTGTGCTTTTCCTCGTTGGTGGCTCCTTCAATATTTAGTTTAAATTACTTCCTGTTAATGGTTCTTAAAGACGAAAAATTAATTGCAAAAGCACATTAAATCTTTTTAATAAGCTAGAATCAAAAATTATTAAGTCAAAAAATGTTAAATATCCTATACAAAAGTTGGGGAACATGGAAACATGAAAACATTAGGCATAGAGCAGAACAACTAAAACACTTCATTTATGCATAAGGAAGTTTTCTCTATATACATTATTTAAAACCTTTACACTTGAATATTGTAACAAATGATTTGTTTTGTATTTTATTGCAGTTTATCAGCTGCTTTATTCAGAATTTTTGTAATATAATTTTCTTCATCAACTGATTTTTTATGTATTTTGTTATAGCTCATCAATTGATGTATATTGTCTATTTAATTATAGCTCAACAACTAATCTAATTTATATGTTTCTACCCTTCATTAACTGTTTTATTGTGAAATTTTGTTATAACTTATTTACTTAATAGTTGACTGTGCTTCTGTTCATAAATTTGTTATGTGTGTGGTTTAAGGTTATTGACTGGTTTATTTGCATTTTGTTTCAGTTTTCAGTTTTTTACTGTGTTTCTGTAATGCTTTGACTATTTATTAACTTCTCAGAATTTCTAGTGCATACTGGAGGAAATTGACAGTTTGGCAATAATCTTAGAAAAAAAAAATTACTCTCAGATAATAATAAAAAAAAACTTTTTTTATTACAGCCAACATTTCACCATTGTGGCTTCATCAGGGTTAATTTTACAAAAAAATGTTTGATGTAAAAATATATTTTAACTTGTTAAACTTATTATTAATATAATATTATTTTATTATTATTATCTGGAGAATAAAGATCGTTTTTTTTTCTAACTTTATTGTCAAAATAACTTTTCGTTCATTCATTATTACATATTTTCTCCCAGTTTATCTAGTTGTAAGTTATGTTTTTGTAATTTATTCTTCTGATCTGTGTTTTTATCTGCTCTCTACTTATTTCAGTGCCAGAACCTCCTACTTTCATCCATCTGTTATCTAGAACAAACAATAGCTTAAAAATTGGATGGTCACCACCTGGTCATTCTAATGGAGTCATTATCTTGTATCATGTGAGTTCGGTTTGATTATTTTTGAATAAGTGAGATCCGGACATGGGAAACTCCGAGTTTATTTACAAGATGGTACCACTTATCGCTTTCTTTTATGGTTATACTATCTACAGTCCACTCATAAAATGTTAAAAGCTAGGACTAACTTTGTAGTTTATAATGCTGGCATCTAAATTTCATTTTTAAGATGTTGAAATCAATTACTTACCATTTACAGTTATCTTGTAAGATTCTGAAACTTATAGTTTAGTTTACGTTAGTGCCATCTATAGCTGACTAGTAGAATGCTACTATGTAGGGTGTATTTATAAGAAGCAATTAACTAGAGTGTGCTTCTGAAAAGTAGCTTACTTGACCCAGTTAATTTACTCGTGAGCTACTGCTATTTTTAGTTTACTTGTAGCATTCTGGCATTTTAATATAGTGAAGTACCTAAATTTATACCACTGCGAGTTTCATTTTGAGGTGTTAGCACCTCTAATTTATATTGGTGTTTTTTCATTTATAATGAAGTGATTTGAGTGACTGTTCCAACTAAGTTCTACTTATAAAGTGCTGTCTGCTCTAGATAATTGGTAAAATTCTGTGACAGTAATGAAGTCATTAAGGGTTCTGTCACTCGCAATATACTTTTGAGCACGTAGAATATTCTTGTGATATGTTACTACCAAATGTACGGGTTATTTAGAACTTCATACTTAGTTGCTAATACATTACATATATGTGTTAAAAATCAGAAAAGTTTTTTTTGTTTATTAATTTACCAATGTTTTGTGTACTCTTATCCAAGACTTCAGTTAACTCGACTCATGCATACTGATGCCAGTAAAACTTTTATATTCATTATTTTTAATTTTTAAACTTAATGATCTCTATATTATCTGGGTAGGTGAAATATCAACCATTATCTACAGCTGATCCTCTGTATGATGTAGAGAAGTCATTAGCTAGGTCCTCCAATGTCAGTTTTACAACAAGATCATTTGACCTTACTGGCCTTCATCACAGCACAGAATATCAGTTCCAGATCCGGGCCGCAACTCAAGTTGGTTTTGGAAAGAAAGCTGAAGCTGTTTATTGGACAGAGTTTGCTGGTAACATATTTGTTCATGACATTATAATGATATATATTATGAGACAAAAATATTAACATAGATGGCTACTTTATCACATTATAGTCGATATATATAGATGAAGTGGCATGTCACACACACCCACACATCTCTGTGTATAAACAGACATATTTTAACTTCAAAATGTGTATAGTTACTGCCTAAATGATTGGCAGGTTGTATCATGGCATTCTATGCTTCGTATACAGTAACCTCAAATCATTGGCATTTTAAGCAAATTATCTGATAAATCAATGCAGCTATTTATTTTTGCTTTAGGCTTAGCGTATTTGTAAACTATAGTTAGTCTTAAATTACATAGACAAAAACAAATTTTAACGATTTTTGTAATTTTATATAATTTTTACATATTTATTATTTTGGTTTCTAAGCAGTAGATCACTCAATCATACATTTGTTTGTCTGAGTGTTTTTAACAGATTCAATTAGACTGTAAAATAATTTTCCCACACACATATAAGTGTCCCTTTAGAGTTTTCGACAAGCAAACTTTGTAGCTAACTTGTTAGTAGTTATTTATTGTTATAAATATTATATTAATATAATATAATATAATAAATAGTACATTAATATAATAAAATATAATAAATAGTACATTAATATAATAAAATATAATAATATAATATAATAAATAGTATATTAATATAATATAATATAATAATTTGTACTCATACAAATATTATTTGTTTGAAGATAAAACATACTTGTGTCCATCTGTAGGGTTAAATCTCTGGTTTTAATGCAGTTTTTACAGTCACTTATATACTTATATGTTATTGTTGTTGTTTTTACCTCTGGACAGAAATTGATGCTCCACCAAATCCTATTATTCTAAAAGAGCACGTGACTGACAGTACTGTGTTTATTGAATTCACACCTTCGGATCATGCTGGAGTAAGGTATGAAATGAGAAATCCTGTGAATTACAGTGTTTCAAAATTCTGACTTTTTCTTTAAATTACTGACTTTATTATTTCTTAAGATTATATATTTTTAACTGGTATTGACAAAGCAAAGTCAGGAAAGGATATATTCTATGAAAGTGAAATTCCAACTGTTCTCTTTGTTAAAGTTCATTAATAAAATAATGTAATATATCTGTATTGAAAGTCTAAATCATGGGTTTTAAACCATTTATTTCTCAGTTTGTAGATGTGCTAGTACATTCCATTCACTTCTACAAATAACAGCAAAGCAACATTATTTGAAAGAGTTAAGCAACAATTTTATATGAGAAGTAAAGCTATTGCAATATTCCTTATACTTTTTTGAGAGCGTAGCTGCTTACTCTGTGTGTTGCACACACATATATATACACAGAAGATTGAGTAAGTTATGTTAAAATGATTTTGAATATATAAATCAGCAAGTCATGTGAAAACCATAACAATATAAATTTGTGGTTGAATAGTATGTATCAGAAATATATTTTGACATTGCTTGGCATTTCACAGATAGTGTGATGTCATCAGAAATTGATTACATAATTGCCTTTTCCAATGGAGGATATTCATACACTCAGCTCATGAAGGTGAGTACTTATAAGAGATTTAGAATTTTCAAGATGGGAATATCCCTTTTAATTAATGGAATTAGAAAGTACAGTAATATGGATCAACTTGGGGTACCAAGATCACAGTGAAAGAGATTTAAAACAAGTCAGACCTTAGCCATAATAAGAAGATTGTGTCGTCTTATAAAAGGTAAGAATTCATGAACATAATGCTC